CTGCTAGGAACTGTGGATCACCCTGAGATAGCAAGTGCTATACAGAAGAAATAACCACCTCCCCTTGGGCTGTACAAGCCGCCCATGTGGGTTTTTACCAAGCCACAAGAACTTTGCCTTAGACTCGAGCAACATTAACCAGAGAAGAGGCACAAACCCCAAACGCTGCCACACAGAGTCCAGAGCAAAGCAGACACGACTGAAAACAATTTTACTGATCTTTAGCACTAAGTAGTGATCGTAGAATCATATGGGGTTGGAAGGCACCTCTGGAGATCATCTAGTCCAACCCCCTGCCAGAGCAGGTCCACCCAGAGCAGGTTGCACAGGAACGTGTCCAGGTGGGTTTGGAATGTCTCCAGAGAAGGAGACTCCACCACCTCCCTGGGCAGCCTCTTCCAGGGCTCTGCCACCCTCACAGGAAAGAAGTTCCTCCTCATGTTTAGATGGAACTTCTTATACTCAAGTTTGTAAGTCATCTGAAAAGAAAGCAAAAGCCTCACTGGGCTGTGAAGGTGACAATTCAAGAGGCTGGAGTTATCTGCAGATATACGACCAGCTCCAGAAAAAGACGTATTTCTTTTCGGAGGTAGACAGGTAGTGGATCATCTCAGAATTTGACATGGTGAAGTCTGTACCTCTTTTCCTCTCCAAAAAGGAGGGAAAAGATTTGTAGACCCACTCAGAAATTGAACATCACCTTACAGTAATTTCTCCCTTTCCTATTCTATCTTTTTAATAGAAACATCACCTACCCCGGCCACAGCCATTTGCTTCTTTAGAAAATGCCTCTCCTGCCGAAGTGCGACACTTCGATGGCACATATCAAAAGAAGTTTTAAATAAAAATCTTCCTGAGACAAAAAAGTTACAGCATCTGCATTTCATCTACCAGATGGTGATTTCTTGGGAATTCAGGAGAAGAGCACTGGTTCCCCCCACAAAAAAGAAAAGCAAGTCTGAGCTGCTGCAGTTGTTTTTCCAGCAACGCATTATTGGATCAGCTCTAACTTCAGAGAGAAAAAAAGAACACAGATAAGCCTGGTTAGTGCCTTGTGCTTTTATAACATGACCCCAGGAGCTCACTTTCACAGCACGAAAAAGCCAGCAACAAATATTTAGCTCCATCCAAGGTGGCCAGCAGATAACACGTGTGCTCACGTGCTAATCTGCAGCAAACACTCCACTGAGCAGATGACCAGATGAGTCATGGTGCCCGACCACTACCACCCACCACCTCTCTCTCCGCAGCCATGAAACCAAAAAGCAAAACATCCATTGGCCGATGGAGGAGTTCTATTTGCAGTCCATCAAAACTTCAGCCAACAGAAAAAAAATAATATTACATTAATGTTAATGGAAATCATAGAATCATAGAATTGTCCAGGTTGGAAGGGACCTTTCAGATCATCTAGTCCAACCATCAACCTATCTCTGATAAAACCCATCACTAAACCATGTCTCTAAGCACTAGGTCAACCCGGCTTTTCAATCCCTCCAGGGATGGGGCCTCAACCCCTTCCCTGGGCACCCCAGTCCAAGGCTTCAGAACCCTTTCCATGTCAACATTTTCCCCCATCTCCAATCTGAACCTCCCCTGGGGCAACTTGAGGCCATTTCCTCTTGTCCCATCACCTGTTCCTTGGGAGAAGAGACCGACCCCCCCTGGCTACACCCTCCTTTCAGGGAGTTGGAGAGAGCCAGAAGGTCTCCCCTCAGCCTCCTTTTCTCCAGGCTGAACACCCCCAGCTCCCTCAGCATCTTCTCAGGAGACTTCTTCTCCAGACCCCTCACCAGCTCCGTTGCCCTTCTCTGGACCCGCTCCAGCAACCTTAAAAGCACATGATAAAAGCCAAAGTTACAGATTATAAGAAGAGGTGTCAAAAAAAAAAAAAATCACCTCCTCCTACCAGTGCTAGAGGGAGGCAAACTACCAGAAAACTCCAATGGATGGCAAGGCAGATGCACACACACAGAGCATCTAATACAGTGACAATCCTCATGGATTCTTTACCACCCACTGGCATAAGGCAGGCATCAACTCTTGCAGATCTTCCTTGTGTTTGTATCGTAGCTAAGATTTTAGTGAAAAAAATACAACTACTCTTCTAGCTCTTGAAGCAAAAATGCCAGGGAAGGAAAGTTTGCATCAAACTAATGAAAACACAGATGTTAAAGTTGTGGTACATAACACAGCTAAGTCTATACAGATACTAGGTCTGATTTCGATGTTGCCACAAGACAGGCTTTGTCTGCGTCACAGACTGCAAATTAGGAAGCTACACAGATTCCCAGGGCTCATGTTTCAAGCACAGGTCAGCTGCAGCATTCCTCATCTCAAACCACGATCTTCTTTCTTGCTGTCTACACGAGGATCCTGGATTTCATTTCAAAGAGCTACAAACACTAACAGTAACAGGAAAACCCAAAGAATTTGAGCTCTAGAGACCCTGGTGACTTAACAGAAAACTACACACACCAGATAAGCCAACTATTTTCTATTCAAAAAAAACAATGAACAGAACACCACTACATTAAGCCACTGATTTGTTTGTGGCAGGTAGAGAAAGGGTGACAAGCTGTGACAGGCTGCAGGGACAGAAAGGAAAGCATGTAAGGAATCAAAGGTTGTTTATACATAGCATTTAAGGCCACACATTCACAGCTATTATAAACCAGCACAAGCAGCTGGCCTGCCCCTAGCTGTGTATTCCCACCTTGTGCCCAATGCAGCACAAAATTCCCAGTTACAGGGATGAGCACTTTTGTCCACTTCATCTTCTCCTGCCCCACATCCACAGTAGTGCCACCCCAGAGAAGATCTCTTCACACAGCAGCACTGCCAACTCTGAGCGATGGTGGGACTGCAGTTAAAAGCTGCTCTCAACAGAGGTTAAATCCAGGTTGGATGAAAGGAAATTCCATGGCAGGTTTCTTTGGCAAAAAAAAATAGTCACTGCACTCACAGACAAGGTAACAGGCAAAGATAACTCAGAATTTACTAGCCAAGGACTTTTCAGATAATGCTACGGAAGCTGCAGTAAAACAATGCACGATCTGAACAGTCAAGTTGTCTATTTTTTCCTATTTCATTGTATCTTAAATCTTTCACTAAGGGGCAAGCCTGCCAAAGACTTTTGGGTGCTTAGGCAGACAAAGTGCATTTCAACCCAGATTTGCTATGAGTCCTTGCATTTCTTACTAGAAGCATCAAACACATCGCCCTAAAGGGATATACAGCCATCCTCCACATTAGGTGTGTTGCAGATGGCAAGGCTACCTCTTTTCTCAAAATAGTTCTGCTTTAAAAAAAAAGGTCAAAACATTCTCCTCGAAGGCATACAACACTCTACAATATTCAACAACCCTGGGTAACTGTTTCCTACCGAATTATCTCAAACAGCACCATCACACCTAAAGTCGCATCTACACCAAAATACTTTGTCACTACCACCCCTGCCATTTCCCAGCAGGGACACACAGCGTCTGGAAATCTAATAAAGAAAGTTTTGTGTTGTGGTACACAAGCATCCTCAGCCCTACTGCAATGAACTGCATTAAAATACCGGGCACCAGTAAGGCCACTGGAAACTTGGGAAGGATAAATCAAGTACTTCTATATCCCAGCTCACTCCATTTCAAAGAATGTCACTGCAGCAAAAGGAACTGCACGAAGCCAAGTGTTTTTATAATAAACCTAGCACGATTGCTACAGAATGTATTTTGCTCAAGAAATGCAAAAAACCGGTTGTTTCCACATTCCAGATCTAAGCATAGCTGATGGCTCCCTCAAGTATCACCTGAAAAATGCAATGCTTATGGTACGCTCCTTCAACAGCCTTCTAAGACTTCAAATAATCTGCAAATCTTGCAGTTTGTCCCATTAAACTTCCCAAGAACAACAGTACAATCTCTTCTCTGAAAATGCTACCACAAGCTTACCCAGAAACCTGACTTCTCAGCCCGAGAGACGCAAGAGGATGCTGTACAGAGAAGTTACACAAAGAACAGTAAGGCACAGGGAGCTCCAGAGAGCCCCCAGTAGGCAGACATTATTGATGTAAGCAAGACACACCATTCTTTTTCCTCCAGAGCATGAAATTACAACTTCTTCAGTTCAAGAAGCATAATGGATATCCCAAAAGTTTCTGCAGAAAATGGGGGGTTTGGAGAACAGGCCATTTCCACGTGCAAAGAAAGAACAGAGTTTACACGAGCCTAAGGTACAGTGCTGAATATACACATTATACTCTAACACACCAGAAATTTTCTGAATACCAGAAAATTTAAGAGGATGGCTATAAGCCACAGGAGCCTCCATGCCCTCTTCTGGCAGCAGCTACTGGCTAAAGAAGCCGTTGCTGAAACTGGTGGCCACCACAACCCCCCCTCCAGTGTCCCAGAGAAACAGGCAGTGATGACACCAGAACATATTTGCCTCGTACCCCTGTGCTGGCCAAGAAATGGTTTGTTGCTCCAGGTGGACAAGGACACACAGTTTAAGCTTCTTTAGTTAGCTTTGCTTGTTGCTTTGTTTTAAAGATACCTCCCTATGCTCAAATAAGTTTTTACTGAGTGCACAGAAATAGTGAGTTGCACTGGGGGTTTGAGTCTGGGGTGGTTTGGGGTTTTTTATATATTTTATGAAAATGGCACAGCTGAGGTTGAGTTCACGGGAAGCCCTAGGGAGCAGCCTTGTTCCACAGCTTGCTCCTCTGCTGTTCCACAGCTGCTCCTCCTTCCAAACCACACACCACTGACCGAGCCTTCCAATGGAAGGGTCAGCACAACTTTTCACGCTGCAAAAAGGCAACCTATTTTCCTACAGCTTTAGGGAAAATCCTAGGTGAACACTTCACAACAAAGAATAACTCCAAACAGGGCAGATTTAAGGGCAAATATCAGCCAGGTAACTAGTTCAGCAGACCTGAAAGTCCCTGAAAGCAGGGCCATGGCATGCTGTGAGTTACACACCCCAGCAGGCAGCAATACCATCCTTACCTGTAGGGCAAGCGTATTGGCTCGCAGGCTGTGGGTCAGGCGGTCACGAAGAACAGTGGGAGTTATATCTCAGCAACTGCAGAGCTGTGTTCTAAAAACAAGAAAGAAATACAATAAAGATCACAACTCTTTGCTGCCAGCAGCCTGCTGCACAGAGTCTCCCTTCTGGCAGTCATGATCTGCTTTGACAGTAGCTATAACATACAGCAATAATTCACACAGCCCTGGCAGCACCACAAATAATCCCCTACAGAAGGTCAAGACATTCTCCTCGAAGGCATACAACACTCTACAATATTCAACAACCCTGGGTAACTGTTTCCTACCGAATTATCTCAAACAGCACCATCACACCTAAAGTCGCATCTACACCAAAATACTTTGTCACTACCACCCCTGCCATTTCCCAGCAGGGACACACAGCGTCTGGAAATCTAATAAAGAAAGTTTTGTGTTGTGGTACACAAGCATCCTCAGCCCTACTGCAATGAACTGCATTAAAATACCGGGCACCAGTAAGGCCACTGGAAACTTGGGAAGGATAAATCAAGTACTTCTATATCCCAGCTCACTCCATTTCAAAGAATGTCACTGCAGCAAAAGGAACTGCACGAAGCCAAGTGTTTTTATAATAAACCTAGCACGATTGCTACAGAATGTATTTTGCTCAAGAAATGCAAAAAACCGGTTGTTTCCACATTCCAGATCTAAGCATAGCTGATGGCTCCCTCAAGTATCACCTGAAAAATGCAATGCTTATGGTACGCTCCTTCAACAGCCTTCTAAGACTTCAAATAATCTGCAAATCTTGCAGTTTGTCCCATTAAACTTCCCAAGAACAACAGTACAATCTCTTCTCTGAAAATGCTACCACAAGCTTACCCAGAAACCTGACTTCTCAGCCCGAGAGACGCAAGAGGATGCTGTACAGAGAAGTTACACAAAGAACAGTAAGGCACAGGGAGCTCCAGAGAGCCCCCAGTAGGCAGACATTATTGATGTAAGCAAGACACACCATTCTTTTTCCTCCAGAGCATGAAATTACAACTTCTTCAGTTCAAGAAGCATAATGGATATCCCAAAAGTTTCTGCAGAAAATGGGGGGTTTGGAGAACAGGCCATTTCCACGTGCAAAGAAAGAACAGAGTTTACACGAGCCTAAGGTACAGTGCTGAATATACACATTATACTCTAACACACCAGAAATTTTCTGAATACCAGAAAATTTAAGAGGATGGCTATAAGCCACAGGAGCCTCCATGCCCTCTTCTGGCAGCAGCTACTGGCTAAAGAAGCCGTTGCTGAAACTGGTGGCCACCACAACCCCCCCTCCAGTGTCCCAGAGAAACAGGCAGTGATGACACCAGAACATATTTGCCTCGTACCCCTGTGCTGGCCAAGAAATGGTTTGTTGCTCCAGGTGGACAAGGACACAGAGTTTAAGCTTCTTTAGTTAGCTTTGCTTGTTGCTTTGTTTTAAAGATACCTCCCTATGCTCAAATAAGTTTTTACTGAGTGCACAGAAATAGTGAGTTGCACTGGGGGTTTGAGTCTGGGGTGGTTTGGGGTTTTTTATATATTTTATGAAAATGGCACAGCTGAGGTTGAGTTCACGGGAAGCCCTAGGGAGCAGCCTTGTTCCACAGCTTGCTCCTCTGCTGTTCCACAGCTGCTCCTCCTTCCAAACCACACACCACTGACCGAGCCTTCCAATGGAAGGGTCAGCACAACTTTTCACGCTGCAAAAAGGCAACCTATTTTCCTACAGCTTTAGGGAAAATCCTAGGTGAACACTTCACAACAAAGAATAACTCCAAACAGGGCAGATTTGAGGGCAAATATCAGCCAGGTAACTAGTTCAGCAGACCTGAAAGTCCCTGAAAGCAGGGCCATGGCATGCTGTGAGTTACACACCCCAGCAGGCAGCAATACCATCCTTACCTGTAGGGCAAGCGTATTGGCTCGCAGGCTGTGGGTCAGGCGGTCACGAAGAACAGTGGGAGTTATATCTCAGCAACTGCAGAGCTGTGTTCTAAAAACAAGAAAGAAATACAATAAAGATCACAACTCTTTGCTGCCAGCAGCCTGCTGCACAGAGTCTCCCTTCTGGCAGTCATGATCTGCATATTAGTGCCCACACATATTGACCTCAGTACTTTCTTCTCAGACTGCCCACCAAATAAAGTCAGGAGGGGCAAAAAATAAGGTCATGCAGCTGATTGATTAAAAAAAAAAAAAAAAAAAAGTGTGTGTACTAATTCCTGAGAGTTGGTTGGGTTGGGTTTTTTTAATGATGGTGAAAAAATGTAGATTTCTCTATGTGTAATTTCTGTAGCGCTAATGCTTCAGTGTACTGACTTCTTGGCAGTCGGTATAAAAATTTCTGACATTTACATAAGTAATAGTCAAACCAGGTCTTTGGAAAAAGTAAACCAAACTATTTTTCAGCCGTATTTGACAAAGAGGTGGTGGTGGGGGGTGTTTGCTAGGATTTTGTTTGTTGTTTTTTTCCCCTAACGTCTCTCTGTCTTTTAA